CCGCGTACCGCCTAAATATGTAATAATATCTACGGGAGATACCGGCATTCCCCGACCTCGAGAAGAATTCGATCAAAATGTGTCGCGATACTCTCCCGGTATGCCAGGTGAGGTACGCGCTCACTTCCCTTCTCCTTTCGCCCTTCTCCCCCTCGGTACCTTCCCGCCACCCCTTTCGACCCCTTTCACACTGCCTTGCTTCGTTGTATCTCTTCCGTGTCTTCTTCCGTCGTTGCTTTGTCCTCGTTTGCACACGATCGGATACAATAAGAGTAAACGCAAACGTTCTTGCACATCCGCGAAGATACGTCATTCAGGACTATGTTCTATCAATCTATCCTCATATGTGAAATCGAAGGAGTGAAATATCAGAGACTTTTACCGTGAATCTTTCGTTACTTACAAATTTCCGTTATCAAATGGAGTCTTTTTTTTATTATCAAACGAGAGATATTTTTTTATTCTAACAAAATTCTTTTCGATATGATAATTTACTATATAATTATAAGAAACTTTTTAATTTTTATTATTATTATTTTCCATAAATTGCAATATCAAATTTTAATAATTTTAAAATTAAGAATTATCGTTAAAATTACACTAAAGAATTTGTAGGCTGAAAATATATAATAGATTTAATATTGTAATTCTTACTTGTTCTTTACTTTGTTCTCGCCAATTAGTTTATATAAATTTAATTTTACATATTTGCACGTCATAACAGTAAATAAAATCACAAATTAAATTTACAAAGAAAAAGTAAAAGAGGAAAAGAGAGTAAGTAAGAATCGTATGATAAAAGTTCGTAGGAAGTAAGGAAACGAATAATTTAGAGTCGCTTACCGTGAGGCGATTCCGTCTAAAAGAGAAAATCCTCATATTGCGCGAGCAGCGTCTCTGCTTTTAGGTGCAGCAGGAATTTCCGAATGCGCCATTCGCGTGATATTTTAATACTTTATACCTCACCGTCCTTGCGAGTAAATCTCTGCCATGATAAGACCCGTCAGGAATTTCACCCCCGCGGAACATCCGCCGTTTATAAGAAATGTTTTCGAAGTTTATGAGGGCGACGCAAAGTCTTGGTATGGGGCGGACCTAAAGCCTTCTTCCTTTTCTCTCTTCTTTTTTTATTCTTCTTTTTAAATAAAAGCAACGCCGATAGAGGAAAAGCGCCGTGTCGCAAAACTGACAATAAAATGACGTCGTCTTTGGAATATCGTTGAAAAATGCGATGAGAAATTTCCGTCAAAAATTTGCACTAACAATACAACATGCGTCATAACTTGCGCATCGTTGTTTCGTATTTAATTTTCGACGTAATTCTAAACGAAATTTTGCAAAGTAATAAACGTGATTGAGAAGAATAATAATAATAATCATAATGATTTATACATCATGTGTAATTCCTATTTCATTAAGCAGAACGTTTTATAACTTTCACAAATAATATATACATATACCTACTACAATTTATATTTTATATTCTTCATTCATAATAACTTTTTCTAGAACAAATAATTTCTTTTTTTTTGTAACGATCAAAATTTATTGTCTTAGGAATTATAGAAACTTTCTATATACATATACATAAGATCATAGATATTCAAAATGCATAGTTTATGAATAATAGTCGCAACAGATACGCTTTCCGTGACATTGCGAAACAAGAGCGTTGTGCACGCTTACGGTCTTGATTGTAATTCTACGGTTACAATTCTGAGTTGCTCCGGCTAACGCAATGTCCAATCTGAGCATTGTGACGTCATGAATTTAGACGCGGGCTAGAATTAACTGTCTTCCGTATCAGACGATGTAACTCTGAACAATACACGCACGATAAATGCATCTAGCGCAAGATCATACACTATGATTCATTCAAATTGTCTTCGTGTGATAAAAACGCGATACATCAGCTAATATAATAAACTAACCAACTCCTTAACAAGGAAAAAAGGGACATTAAAAAAAAATTCAATATTAATTGTGGTAATTAAATTTTAATAGATAAATATTTTTTTAATAATTGTTAGATAAACACATACAAAAATATTTTATCATTATATTTGTAAATAACTAATAATACTTAATGTATAACATCACATAAAATCACAACAAAAATGACAACAAGTTATGAGATCATTTTATTTTTTAAACTTGTACTTTTTATTAAATATATTTACGAATAACATTTGGGTTTTTAAATGGAAAAAATTACAAAATTTTCTTTCTTGTGAGAAAATTATATTTCATACTTACTATTTTCACATCTAAAAAAGGGATAATTTATAATTATGTCCTTAATTTGGAACAAAATTTGGGACGCGTTATAAAGTGAGAAGACGAAGAGTTAAAATTTGGAACTGTCCTTCCTAATTTTGAATGATTGGTCATTTTATTATACAACGGCTTTCTTTTAATATACCAATCGCTTATTATGTAAATAAAATAAACTTTACTAACATTTATTCAAATATTTTCTAAACACGATAGAAGAAACTTGAAATTTTGCAATTAATATCAGCAAATTACAAATTCTAAACTCGAAGATTTATTTTTAAGTCTCTATCTTCTTTTATCTCTTTTCCTTTCGAACACAGACCGAAATTATTCAGTAATGCAATTATACATCGGATGTAAAAACAGAGAGAAATTTATTTTCGTTTTATTTTAAATTACCCTTTAAGGACTAGAAGGATATATAGAAATAGGTGAGAACAGGAAGTCGACGAATGTAAAGCGGAGGAGAAATTATGAATTCGTAACTTTACAAAATGAATTCCTATCGCTTCCTTTTTAATTCACCTTGCACATGAACGTATCTATATCTGGCTCGCGCAAAACGGCGCTCATGATGTCGACTCGACGACGCTGCAGATTTCTTGCAGGAGTCAGGTGCGGAGCGTCGGACGCGATGTGTGGTGCGTGTCGATGAACCTACACCCATCCTCCAGGTAAAGTCAGCAGACGCGGCCGAATGCAAAGTGCATCGTTGCATAACGCGGAATCGCGCGTGCGATGTTTCTTTTTCGCAACATGTGGAGAGATAAAAGGCAAAGGAATATATACATACATACATATATATATATAAAATTATTCTAGAATAATAATTATATATTGATCCCACAACACGGACAATGAGAACAATTAAAAGTACCCGCTTCCCTTTTTGTTCACTACCAGTGTTGTTTCTATACGTTTTTCAATTAGTTATCTTCGGCAGAGCAGCGGCCCGCGAGGCAGTTTTATGACTTTACGGCTATCGACGGTTAAATAGAATTCGCGGCATACCAGTCATGCCATGTGTTATGCTCAGGTCGAAATAGCTCGAATAAGCGGTAGGGCATAAAGAGCGGGATA